GTGGTCAGTCCCAATGTTAAACAAACATGGCAGATACCACCCCACCAAAGATGAGGTTGGTGTACATTCCTGCTGCATCAGCTGATGTCTTAGCCACTATTGATGAAAATAAATGTACTGTATATAAAATGTAATGAGGCTATATCAAATAAATAAAAAATAATTTGATACTAACAGGATGAAAACAATGCAGCAGCCTTGCTGTTTTACTGGTGCTCACATAGTGAAAGATGTACTGTGAGTCGTCAGGTAACCTGATGTGTCATATCATAGTCTCCTGCATTTTCTTTAAGCTTTGCATGCAGGTACAAATTGAAAGGGCTGTACCTCTGAAGTGAAAAAAAAAATGAAATTACCTGTGAAAATTTTTTCACTTGTCCTTTTTATACAGAACATTGGAACATTTTTGAAATTATTCCAAGTGAAATTTTTTTTATTGTATAACCACCCACTTTGACATAGAACAGTCTGTACCTATCTTACTTTGTTCTTAGCTTTGCTTGCAATGTACTGCTAAAAAGCCTATCTTCTGTAACCAAAGCTTTTTTCCCTTGCTTGCTGTTTCTGTTCACCAGACTGAAAACCCACATTGTAGCCTTCTGTTTTATTGGGATCTGTTAATGAGGCAGGTATGTTGGCTAATGGAATACAGGAATTAAACACCATAGACTTCAAGAATTAACTTTTAAGGTTTTCAAACTGAGTATTTTAAAAGAGAATTCTGAAGTAAAACATTTGGATTTTAAAACCTGACTAGATGTGTTTACAATATCAGCTGGTATGTCAGGAAACAGGGTGCGGGCTTGCATGCTAATGTTAAACTTGCTCATTTTACAGTAATTTTTATTTTATTTTATACGATATAAAATTATAAATATATACTATGGAGTGTGAATGTTTGAAAGTGTTTGTTAGTCTTTATACTTGAGTGGGATATGTTTTTAATTTTATTACTGTCTTCAACCAGTTTTGTTGTCAAACTAACTATTCTGATCATACAATGACAGGTGAGAATTGAAGGGCTGGTAGAAAAGGTGACACAGGAGGAGGCAACTGACTATTTCCACTCCCGGCCCAGAGATAGCCAAATAGGAGCCTGTGTTAGCCAGCAAAGTCAAGTCATCCCAAATAGGAAAGTAAGTCTTTGGTTTTACTCAACCTGTCTAGAGATTTACACCTAAAAATACTTTTTGAAATGACTTTTTAATTAACTGTTGTATTTGTAGATTATAGAAGAGAGAAATTTAGAACTTCAGATGAAATACAGTGACAGTAACACTCCCATTCCCAAACCAGATTACTGGTGAGTTAAGACTTTTTAAATAAGTTTTACCTAGGTCAAAGTGTGTCTGTCTGTGCCTAATCTTGGTCTTCAATTTTGACCTACTTCTAATGTACTGGTTTTGTTAACTTACCAGATAAATGTGGCAATCACAACACAAGAATATCTAGGTTTCAATGTCATTAAATATTTAATGAGCCATGAAAATTTAATTTTAAATCTTTTATTTTTTAATGTTACATTTTAAATGTACTGCTTGACTTAACAATGAGCATTAATTAATTAATTAATTAGCAGTAATTAACAAATAAACTTGCTCATTTTAACCATGTGTTTAATTATTGTTATTTTCTGAAAGTAAGTACATTTCTTACTGAAAGCTTTACATTTTCTTGTACTAAAAACAAACAAATCTCTCTACAGGGGAGGCTACAGAGTTATACCAAATAGATTTGAGTTTTGGCAGGGGCAGACGAACCGACTTCATGATCGAATTGTGTTCCGCAGACCTTTAGATGGTGAACAGTTAAATCCAGATGTTACACACGCCGGAGTGGATGGTTGGGTGTATGAGCGTCTGATGCCATAGGATCTTGTGTCATGTCAGAAGTTTGTGGTTGGGTGTATGAGGGTCTGATGCCATAGGATCTTGTGTCATGTCAGAAGTTTGTGGTTGGGTGTATGAGGGTCTGATGCCATAGGATCTTGTGTCAGAAGTTTGTGGTTGGGTGTATGAGGGTCTGATGCCATAGGATCTTGTGTCATGTCAGAAGTTTGTGGTTGGGTGTATGAGGGTCTGATGCCATAGGATCTTGTGTCAGAAGTTTGTGGTTGGGTGTATGAGGGTCTGATGCCATAGGATCTTGTGTCATGTCAGAAGTTTGTGGTTGGGTGTATGAGGGTCTGATGCCATAGGATCTTGTGTCATGTCAGAAGTTTGTGGTTGGGTGTATGAGGGTCTGATGCCATAGGATCTTGTGTCATGTCAGAAGTTTGTGGTTGGGTGTATGAGGGTATGATGCCATAGGATCTTGTGTCATGTCAGAAGTTTGTGGTTGGGTGTATGAGGGTATGATGCCATAGGATCTTGTGTCATGTCAGAAGTTTGTGGTTGGGTGTATGAGGGTCTGATGCCATAGGATCTTGTGTCAGAAGTTTGTGGTTGGGTGTATGAGGGTCTGATGCCATAGGATCTTGTGTCAGAAGTTTGTGGTTGGGTGTATGAGGGTCTGATGCCATAGGATCTTGTGTCAGAAGTTTGTGGTTGGGTGTATGAGGGTCTGATGCCATAGGATCTTGTGTCATGTCAGAAGTTCGTGGTTGGGTGTATGAGGGTCTGATGCCATAGGATCTTGTGTCATGTCAGAAGTTTGTGGTTGGGTGTATGAGGGTCTGATGCCATAGGATCTTGTGTCATGTCAGAAGTTTGTGGTTGGGTGTATGAGGGTCTGATGCCATATGATCTTGTGTCAGAAGTTTGTGGTTGGGTGTATGAGGGTCTGATGCCATAGGATCTTGTGTCAGAAGTTTGTGGTTGGGTGTATGAGGGTCTGATGCCATAGGATCTTGTGTCAGAAGTTTGTGGTTGGGTGTATGAGGGTCTGATGCCATAGGATCTTGTGTCATGTCAGAAGTTCGTGGTTGGGTGTATGAGGGTCTGATGCCATAGGATCTTGTGTCATGTCAGAAGTTTGTGGTTGGGTGTATGAGGGTCTGATGCCATAGGATCTTGTGTCATGTCAGAAGTTTGTGGTTGGGTGTATGAGGGTCTGATGCCATATGATCTTGTGTCAGAAGTTTGTGGTTGGGTGTATGAGCGTCTGATGCCATAGGATCTTGTGTCATGTCAGAAGTTTGTGGTTGGGTGTATGAGGGTCTGATGCCATAGGATCTTGTGTCATGTCAGAAGTTTGTGGTTGGGTGTATGAGGGTCTGATGCCATAGGATCTTGTGTCATGTCAGAAGTTTGTGGTTGGGTGTATGAGGGTCTGATGCCATAGGATCTTGTGTCAGAAGTTTGTGGTTGGGTGTATGAGGGTCTGATGCCATAGGATCTTGTGTCATGTCAGAAGTTTGTGGTTGGGTGTATGAGGGTCTGATGCCATAGGATCTTGTGTCAGAAGTTTGTGGTTGGGTGTATGAGGGTCTGATGCCATAGGATCTTGTGTCAGAAGTTTGTGGTTGGGTGTATGAACGTCTGATGCCATAGGATCTTGTGTCATGTCAGAAGTTTGTGGTTGGGTGTATGAGCGTCTGATGCCATAGGATCTTGTGTCAGAAGTTTGTGGTTGGGTGTATGAGCGTCTGATGCCATAGGATCTTGTGTCAGAAGTTTGTGGTTGGGTGTATGAGGGTCTGATGCCATAGGATCTTGTGTCATGTCAGAAGTTTGTGGTTGGGTGTATGAGGTCTGATGCCATAGGATCTTGTGTCATGTCAGAAGTTTGTGGTTGGGTGTATGAGGGTCTGATGCCATAGGATCTTGTGTCATGTCAGAAGTTTGTGGTTGGGTGTATGATGGTCTGATGCCATAGGATCTTGTGTCAGAAGTTTGTGGTTGGGTGTATGAAGGTCTGATGCCATAGGATCTTGTGTCATGTCAGAAGTTTGTGGTTGGGTGTATGAAGGTCTGATGCCATAGGATCTTATGTCATGTCAGAAGTTTGTTTTTATGGTTGTGTGTGTAATAAGAAGCTGATTTTGTCTTTTTAAAAGACATGTTTCAAGATTTTATTGTCAAAATATTTTTAAAAAAAACCTACGTATTTTTAATGTTCATCATGGTGTAAAAATAATAAGACCAACTTTTTAATAATATACTTAACCACAAATCTTTCTTTATTGACAATAACATAGTTATTTATTAAATAAATTACAAAAATCTTATTTTTCTGGCAATAGAAAGATTTTATTGAGAAAGCAAATGATTAAAAGTGTTTCGAGGAAAATATTGTTTCAGTTCAGCCTTACTAACTCAATGCAAATTGAGAAAATTGTATGTGTGATTCTATCCACGTGACCAGGCATTGTCTTTCATTCTATGTTGATCCAGGTTGATGTGCATTTATAATCATATTTATTAATAGATTACATTCTTTGTGTTGCTGAAATAAAATATTCTTTTCATGTTTTGAGAACTTGTCTCTACTTTGTGTGGGGTAGGAAAAGCTTTTGGCTAAGATTTAATCTGATAACTGGCATGATGTGTTGTAAAAATGTATCTGACAGATACATGGGTGATCCCTCTAGGAGCCAGACAAAGCTTGTCAGCTGGTCATATTGTCACCACTGTATGTCTGACATTAAGATAAGGCTCATGTTAAACTTCCACTGTAGGATAATGCTCATGTTCAACTTCCACTGTAGGATAAGGCTCATGTTAACTTCCACTGTAGGATAAGGCTCATGTTAAACTTCCACTGTAGGATAAGGCTCATGTTAAACTTCCACTGTAGGATAAGGCTCATGTTAAACTTCCACTGTAAGATAAGGCTCATGTTAAACTTCCACTGTAGGATAAGGCTCATGTTAAACTTCCACTGTAGGATAAGGCTCATGTTAAACTTACACTGTAGGATAAGGCTCATGTTAAACTTAAACCGTAGGATAAGGCTCATGTTAAACTTACACCGTAGGATAAAGCTCATGTTAAACTTACACTGTAAGATAAGGCTCATGTTAAACTTACACTGTAAGATAAGGCTCATGTTAAACTTCCACTGTAGGATAAGGCTCATGTTAAACTTCCACTGTAGGATAAGGCTCATGTTAAACTTCCACTGTAGGATAAGGCTCATGTTAAACTTCCACTGTAAGATAAGGCTCATGTTAAACTTCCACTGTAGGATAAGGCTCATGTTAAACTTCCACTGTAGGATAAGGCTCATGTTAAACTTCCACTGTAGGATAAAGCTCATGTTAAACTTAAACCGTAGGATAAGGCTCATGTTAAACTTACACCGTAGGATAAAGCTCATGTTAAACTTACACTGTAAGATAAGGCTCATGTTAAACTTACACTGTAAGATAAGGCTCATGTTAAACTTCCACTGTAGGATAAAGCTCATGTTAAACCTCCATTGTAGGATAAGGCTCATGTTAAACTTCCACTGTAGGATAAGGCTTATGTTAAACTTACACTGTAGGATAAGGCTCATGTTAAACTTCCACTGTAGGATAAGGCTTATGTTAAACTTCCACTGTAGGATAAGGCTCATGTTAAACTTCTACTGTAGGATAAGGCTCATGTTAAACTTCCACTGTAGGATAAGGCTCATGTTAAACTTCCACTGTAGGATAAGGCTCATGTTAAACTTCCACTGCAGGATAAGGCTCATGTTAAACTTCCACTGTAGGATAAGGCTCATGTTAAACTTCCACTAGGATAAGGCTCATGTTAAACTTACACTGTAGGATAAGGCTCATGTTAAACTTACACTGTAGGATAAGGCTCATGTTAAACTTACACTGTAGGATAAGGCTTATGTTAAACTTACACTGTAGGATAAGGCTCATGCGGACCGCACCGGGTGACACCAGTTGGGGGGGGGGGGGGGTGACACCAAGGCAAAAAAGCAAAATATATACAGAAAACTGATAATTACACTTGATTAAATGATTATTTATAGTGAGTTAAATAGTCTTTTTAGAGCAAAGTTGGCAAATCCCAACAAGGGGGGGGGATGACACCATAACGTAAACCTGCTAATGATAGAGAAAACATGCTACATCCAGCTGTATTTATAACATACTATAGATAAAAATCGTTAGTATTATCTAAGCAGAGTTAAAAGCAATAATCGTGGGAGTTTGGGGGAGGTTTACAATACATCAACTCAACGTTGCAAAATATACCTGAGGAAAACGGTTTGTTTGAGAATCGTAATAACGTATGTGTTAATTCATGTGGGGGGGGGGGGGGGGGGGAAGGGAGGAATTAAATACATCCAGTAAAAATATATTTGTATATATATATATATATATATATATATATATATATATATATATATATATATATATATATATATATATATATATATCTTACGGGGGAGGGGTCAGGTGCCGCACCGGGTTGACACCCGACCCCGCTACGCCTCTGGTTTGAATCCCTGACTTGAATACGAAGGACGTTTCTATCCACCCGTCTAAGTTTAGGGAAAGTAAATGCTATTGGTCATAACGCTGGCCACAATATTCCTTCGTATTCCGAAGCAGCTGAACTCTACTTCATCTGGCCAGTGATCTCCAGGTTTAAAAGGGTAACTTTTTTTTCAGCGGATGGCGTTTTAAAAGCCCAAGATTGGTGTGAAATTACAAGTTATAAGCCCTAACGTTACTTAACAGCAGTGAATCATGCAGTGACTTCCCCTTACCAGATCATAAAAACCACTCAGACCTTTTTCAACTTCAATCCTGCTGACTCATAAAACGTATTATCGTTTCCATATTAGCATCACTTTTTGCAGCTTCATAATTAAGTTGGCTAACCATATTAAAAGTCCATGGTCTAGACCCATCCCATACTTTTGTTCTGCGTTCAAATACTCCATGTCATTAGACACGGCACTCGCCGTAGACATGGGATTATTTTCAAGTGGGTCGGTGACTGGGAAAAAAGAGTTAACGTCAATTAATTGTATAATTAAACACCTGCATAATACCACATCAAGTGACCCAATGAACCTGTCATGTCACATTTTTTGAGCAGTGAGCTGGTGTCAGGTTTTTGACATCTGTGTGTGGTGTCATGTTTAGAACCTCTGTGTGTGGTGTCATGTTTAGAACCTCTGTGTGTGGTGTCATGTTTAGAACCTCTGTGTGTGTTGTCATGTTTAGAACCTCTGTGTGTGTTGTTATATTTAGAACCTCTGTGTGTGGTGTCATGTTTAGAACCCCTGTGTGTGGTGTCATGTTTAGAACCTCTGTGTGTGGTGTCATGTTTAGAACCTCTGTGTGTGGTGTCATGTTTAGAACCTCTGTGTGTGGTGTCATGTTTAGAACCTCTGTGTGTGGTGTCATGTTTAGAACCTCTGTGTGTGGTGTCATGTTTAGAACCTCTGTGTGTGGTGTCATGTTTAGAACCTCTGTGTGTGGTGTCATGTTTAGAACCCCTGTGTGTGGTGTCATGTTTAGAGCCACTGTGTGTGGTGTAAGGTTTAGAACCTCTGTGTGTGGTGTCATGTTTAGAACCTGTGTGTGGTGTCATGTTTAGAACCTCTGTGAAGTGTCATGTTTAGAACCTGTGTGTGGTGTCATGTTTAGAACCTCTGTGTGGTGTCATGTTTAGAGCCACTGTGTGGTGTCATGTTTAGAACCTCTGTGTGTGTGTGTCATGTTTAGAACCTCTGTGTGTGGTGTCATGTTTAGAACCCCTGTGTGTGGTGTCATGTTTAGAACCTCTGTGTGGTGTCATGTTTAGAACCCCTGTGTGTGGTGTCATGTTTAGAACCTCTGTGTGTGGTGTCATGTTTAGAACCTCTGTGTGTGGTGTCATGTTTAGAACCTCTGTGTGTGGTGTCATGTTTAGAACCCCTGTGTGTGGTGTCATGTTTAGAGCCACTGTGTGTGGTGTAAGGTTTAGAACCTCTGTGTGGTGTCATGTTTAGAGCCACTGTGTGGTGTCATGTTTAAAACCTCTGTGTGTGGTGTCATGTTTAGAACCCCTGTGTGTGGTGTCATGTTTAGAGCCTCTGTGTGTGTGTGTGGTGTCATGTTTAGAACCTCTGTGTGTGGTGTCATGTTTAGAACCTCTGTGTGTGGTGTCATGTTTAGAACCTCTGTGTGGTGTAAGGTTTAGAACCTCTGTGTGTGGTGTCATGTTTAGAACCCCTGTGTGTGGTGTCATGTTTAGAGCCTCTGTGTGTGGTGTCAGGTTTAGAACCTCTGTGTGTGGTGTCATGTTTAGAACCTGTGTATGGTGTCATGTTTAGAACCTGTGTGTGGTGTCATGTTTAGAACCTCTGAGTGTGGTGTCATGTTTAGAACCTCTGTGTGTGGTGTCATGTTTAGAACCTGTGTGTGGTGTCATGTTTAGAACCTCTGTGTGTGGTGTCATGTTTAGAACCCTAGTGTGTGGTGTCATGTTTAGAGCCACTGTGTGTGGTGTCATGTTTAGAACCCCTATGTGTGGTGTCATGTTTAGAACCTGTGTGTATGTGGTGTCATGTTTAGAACCTCTGTGTGGTGTCATGTTTAGAGCCTCTGTGTGTGGTGTCATGTTTAGAACCCCTGTGTGTGGTGTCATGTTTAGAACCTCTGTGTGTGGTGTCATGTTTAGAGCCACTGTGTGGTGTCATGTTTAGAGCCTCTGTGTGATGTCATGTTTAGAACCTCTGTGTGTGGTGTCATGTTTAGAACCTCTGTGTGTGGTGTCATGTTTAGAACCTCTGTGTGTGGTGTCATGTTTAGAACCTCTGTGTATGGTGTCATGTTTAGAACCCCTGTGTGTGTGGTGTCATGTTTAGAACCTCTGTCTGTGGTGTCATGTTTAGAACCTCTGTCTGTGGTGTCATGTTTAGAACCTGTGTGTGTGGTGTCATGTTTAGAACCTCTGTGTGTGGTGTTAGGTATAGAACCTCTGTATGCAGTAAGCTGGTGTCTTCTAAATACATGCAAGATGTCCATTATCCCCGAGTTCTGAAACGCCCATGAATGAATATTAAACATCTGCCACGAAATAGTAATACATTATCCTTTTTCCGGAGTATGTTAATTTAAATACTTTATGTCAAGTTGTAAAGGTTTAGTCTTCGTATAAATAACACGCTTGACAGTCGTCTATTTCATGTACGACTGACATTCATTATTCACCTTAGGTTCACACATTTTATTATATATATATATATATATATATATATATATATATATATATATATATATATATATATATATATATATATATATATATATATATAATTCTGTCTGTCACAGCGGCCTATATTTGCCATTGACTTGGTGCTCGGGGTTGTGTGTCCATCAGATGACCACCAAACCAGCTGGACACGAAGAGCGTGAAACGTTAGCCATGGATGACGTGATGTCTCTGGAGCCGTTTGGCCAGTTCCAAGCGTGGTTTGAGCAGGCCAAATCTACCGAAGGCATGTTGGACGCCAATCTTATGTCTTTAGCTACTGCCACAAGGTAGGTTCCAAATTTACTTGCATGATAGGTGATCAAATATTCTTACATGATTGGTGATCAAGTATGCTTAAATTATTGGAGATCAAACGTTACATGCTTGTTGAATGACCAAAAATACTATCCGAGGCTCGATATTTCAGGGACGGCAAACCTTCTGTCAGGATAGTGCTCATGAAAGACTTTGACAAAAGAGGGATTGTATTTTACACAATCTATGGGAGTCGTAAGACAGCAGAACTGGTGAGTTGAGTCGTAAGACAGCAGAACTGGTGAGTTGGGTCGTAAGACAGCAGAACTGGTGAGTTGGGTGGTAAGACAGCAGAACTGGTGAGTTGGGTCGTAAGACAGCAGAACTGGTGAGTTGGGTGGTAAGACAGCAGAACTGGTGAGTTGAGTCGTAAGACAGCAGAACTGGTGAGTTGTTTTTGATATTTAAAAACAAAAAAAATCCGTGTGTTTAACAACGTACGAGTACACGACTCAAACTTGACCGTGTGTTTAACAACGTACGAGTACACGACTCAAACTTGACCGTGTATTTAACAACGCACAAGTACACGACTCAAACTTGACCGTGTGTTTAACAACGTACGAGTACACGACTCAAACTTGACCGTGTGTTTAATAACGTACGAGTACACGACTCAAACTTGACCGTGTGTTTAACAACGTACGAGTACACGACTCAAACTTGACCGTGTGTTTAACAACGTACCAGTACACGACTCAAACTTGACCGTGTGTTTAACAACGTACGAGTACACGACTCAAACTTGGTCAACAGGACGACAACAACTCGGTGGCGCTACTCTTCTACTGGTGTTCCTGCAATGATTCGCTAGGCCGCCAGGTAAGACACGAATTTGTTGCCCTCTTTATTTTGTTTTCCCACATTGTTGTTGCCCTCTGTATTTTGTTTCCCCACATTGTTGTTGCCCTCTGTATTTTGTTTTTGCAGATTGTTGTTGCCCACTATATTTTGTTTTCCTAGTTGCACTTAAACTTTTACCGCTTTACTCACGGTTCAAACTTTACTCTCGCGCAATGTTTTACGCTCTATATTTGCTGTGTCCTTATTCTCGCACAATGTTTTACGCTCTATATTTGCTGCGTCCTTATTCTCGCGCCATGTTTTACGCTCTATATTTGCTGCGTCCTTCTCATTTGATGTTCTCGCGCAATGTTTTACGCTCTATATTTGCTGCGTCCTTGTTCTCGCGCAATGTTTTACGCTCTATATTTGCTGCGTCCTTGTTCTCGCGAAATGTTTTACGCTCTATATTTGCTGCGTCCTTCTCATTTGATGTTCTCGCGCAATGTTTTACGCTCTATATTTGCTGCGTCCTTGTTCTCGCGCAATGTTTTACGCTCTATATTTGCTGCGTCCTTGTTCTCGCGCAATGTTTTACGCTCTATATTTGCTGCGTCCTTATTCTCGCGAAATGTTTTACGCTCTATATTTGCTGCGTCCTTCTCATTTGATGTTCTCGCACAATGTTTTACGCTCTATATTTGCTGCGTCCTTCTCATTTGAGGTTCGAGTTGAAGGCCGGATAGAAAAGATCAACGAGGACGACGGTACCGAATATTTCCACTCCCGACCAAGGGATGCACAAATCGTTGCCTGGGCTAGTCGTCAGAGTCAGCTGATCCAGAACAAAAAGGTCAGTTGTAGAGAGGGACATGACGTCACGGGGGGGGGGGGGGGTATGTCCGCACAATATCTTCAACATTTACACTGAGAAAAACGTCTTGTACTGTTAAATGATGTACTGGGTAGTTAAACACTTTGTTGTTCACATCAACGTCAGCCAACCACAAGAGTGAAGAATGACACCAAAATGAACAAAAAGCTAATTGCAAGCCCCCGTAATTTCATCGTTATGTACATTATTTTTTTCCGAGTATCTCCCCGAGGGGGATGGGGGTGGGTTGGATGGTGGACGAGATGAAGTTTTTAAAGTACGCCCCTCCGGGTGCTTCAATCGCCAATCCATCCCCTTCCTTATAAAAATGAGAGGAATCCAGATAACATTCTTATGGCAGTTCAAAGGATGGACCTAGCGGATCCCCCTTCTACCTCTTCTCAAAAAGTTTACAATATAAAGCTATGCAGATACAATAGGAAATACAGCATGAATACTAATTTAAACGTCTGTTGTTTTTTTTGCAGATGTTAGATGAAAGAAATCTTGAACAAAGAATGAAGTACGGAGACAATGAACTTGTTATCCCCAAACCAGAATACTGGTAAGTTTGAATTCAGTACATGCATTCGGCAGAGAGCATAAAAGCAAAGACGTCACGGTAGAAATACCAAATTGGTTTATTAATAGATTAGATGTTCCCAGCAACTACTACCCATGTTCCCAGCAACTACTACCCATGTTCCCAGAAACTACTACCCATGTTCCCAGCAACTACTACCCATGTTCCCAGCAACTACTTCCCATGTTCCCACAACTACTACCCATGCTCCCACAACTACTACCCATGTTCCCAGCAACTACTTCCCATGTTCCCACAACTACTACCCATGTTCCCACAACTACTACCCATGTTCCCAGCAACTACTTCCCATGTTCCCACAACTACTACCCATGTTCCCACAACTACTACCCATGTTCCCACAACTACTACCCATGTTCCCACAACTACTACCCATGTTCCCAGCAACTACTACCCATGTTCCCAGCAACTACTTCCCATGTTCCATGCATGTTCTCGACAATCCTTATTTTTTTCCGTTTAATCTTTATGTATTAATGACATTGTACTTCAAATGTAAATTGACGGACTTTCTCTACAGGGGAGGCTACAGAGTTATACCAAATAGATTTGAGTTTTGGCAGGGGCAGACAAACCGACTTCATGATCGAATTGTGTTCCGCAGACCTTTGGATGGTGAACAGTTAAACACAGATGTTACTCACGCCGGAGTGGATGGTTGGGTGTATGAGCGTCTGATGCCATAGAATCTTATGTCAGAAGTTTGTGGTTGGGTGTATGAGCGTCTGATGCCATAGGATCTTGTGTCATGTCAGAAGTTTGTGGTTGGGTGTATGAGGGTCTGATGCCATAGGATCTTGTGTCAGAAGTTTGTGGTTGGGTGTATGAGGGTCTGATGCCATAGGATCTTATGTCATGTCAGAAGTTTGTGGTTGGGTGTATGAGGGTCTGATGCCATAGGATCTTGTGTCAGAAGTTTGTGGTTGGGTGTATGAGCGTCTGATGCCATAGGATCTTGTGTCAGAAGTTTGTGGTTGGGTGTATGAGGGTCTGATGCCATAGGATCTTGTGTCATGTCAGAAGTTTGTGGTTGGGTGTATGAGGGTCTGATGCCATAGGATCTTGTGTCAGAAGTTTGTGGTTGGGTGTATGAGGGTCTGATGCCATAGGATCTTGTGTCAGAAGTTTGTGGTTGTGTGTATGAGGGTCTGATGCCATAGGATCTTGTGTCAGAAGTTTGTGGTTGGGTGTATGAGGGTCTGATGCCATAGGATCTTGTGTCAGAAGTTTGTGGTTGGGTGTATGAGGGTCTGATGCCATAGGATCTTGTGTCAGAAGTTTGTGGTTGGATGTATGAGGGTCTGATGCCATAGGATCTTGTGTCAGAAGTTTGTGGTTGGGTGTATGAGCGTCTGATGCCATAGGATCTTGTGTCATGTCAGAAGTTTGTGGTTGGGTGTATGAGGGTCTGATGCCATAGGATCTTGTGTCATGTCAGAAGTTTGTGGTTGGGTGTATGAGCGTCTGATGCCATAGGATCTTGTGTCATGTCAGAAGTTTGTGGTTGGGTGTATGAGGGTCTGATGCCATAGGATCTTGTGTCAGAAGTTTGTGGTTGGGTGTATGAGGGTCTGATGCCATAGGATCTTGTGTCATGTCAGAAGTTTGTGGTTGGGTGTATGAGGGTCTGATGCCATAGGATCTTGTGTCAGAAGTTTGTGGTTGGGTGTATGAGGGTATGATGCCATAGGATCTTATGTCATGTCAGAAGTTTGTGGTTGGGTGTATGAGGGTCTGATGCCATAGGATTTTATGTCATGTCAGAAGTTTGTGGTTGGGTGTATGAGGGTCTGATGCCATAGGATCTTGTGTCATGTCAGAAGTTTGTGGTTGGGTGTATGAGGGTCTGATGCCATAGGATCTTGTGTCATGTCAGAAGTTTGTGGTTGGGTGTATGAGGGTCTGATGCCATAGGATCTTGTGTCATGTCAGAAGTTTGTGGTTGGGTGTATGAGCGTCTGATGCCATAGGATCTTGTGTCAGAAGTTTGTGGTTGGGTGTATGAGCGTCTGATGCCATAGGATCTTGTGTCATGTCAGAAGTTTGTGGTTGGGTGTATGAGGGTCTGATGCCATAGGATCTTGTGTCAGAAGTTTGTGGTTGGGTGTATGAGTGTCTGATGCCATAAGATCTTGTGTCAGAAGTTTGTGGTTGGGTGTATGAGCGTCTGATGCCATAGGATCTTGTGTCAGAAGTTTGTGGTTGGGTGTATGAGCGTCTGATGCCATAGGATCTTGTGTCAGAAGTTTGTGGTTGGGTGTATGAGGGTCTGATGCCATAAGATCTTGTGTCAGAAGTTTGTGGTTGGGTGTATGAGCGTCTGATGCCATAGGATCTTGTGTCATGTCAGAAGTTTGTGGTTGGGTGTATGAGCGTCTGATGCCATAGGATCTTGTGTCATGTCAGAAGTTTGTGGTTGGGTGTATGAGGGTCTGATGCCATAGGATCTTGTGTCAGAAGTTTGTGGTTGGGTGTATGAGGGTCTGATGCCATAGGATCTTGTGTCATGTCAGAAGTTCGTGGTTGGGTGTATGAGGGTCTGATGCCATAGGATCTTGTGTCAGAAGTTTGTGGTTGGGTGTATGAGGGTCTGATGCCATAGGATCTTGTGTCATGTCAGAAGTTTGTGGTTGGGTGTATGAGGGTCTGATGCCATAGGATCTTGTGTCATGTCAGAAGTTCGTGGTTGGGTGTATGAGGGTCTGATGCCATAGGATCTTGTGTCATGTCAGAAGTTTGTGGTTGGGTGTATGAGGGTCTGATGCCATAGGATCTTGTGTCATGTCAGAAGTTTGTGGTTGGGTGTATGAGGGTCTGATGCCATAGGATCTTGTGTCATGTCAGAAGTTTGTGGTTGGGTGTATGAGCGTCTGATGCCATAGGATCTTGTGTCATGTTAGAAGTTTGTGGTTGGGTGTATGAGGGTCTGATGCCATAGGATCTTGTGTCAGAAGTTTGTGGTTGGGTGTATGAGGGTCTGATGCCATAGGATCTTGTGTCAGAAGTTTGTGGTTGGGTGTATGAGGGTCTGATGCCATAGGATCTTATGTCATGTCAGAAGTTTGTGGTTGGGTGTATGAGGGTCTGATGCCATAGGATCTTGTGTCAGAAGTTTGTGGTTGGGTGTATGAGGGTCTGATGCCATAGGATCTTGTGTCAGAAGTTTGTGGTTGGGTGTATGAGGGTCTGATGCCATAGGATCTTGTGTCAGAAGTTTGTGGTTGGGTGTATGAGGGTCTGATGCCATAGGATCTTATGTCATGTCAGAAGTTTGTGGTTGGGTGTATGAGGGTCTGATGCCATAGGATCTTGTGTCATGTCAGTAGTTTGTGGTTGGGAGTATGAGGGTCTGATGCCATAGGATCTTGTGTCATGTCAGAAGTTTGTGGTTGGGTGTATGAGGGTCTGATGCCATAAGATCTTGTGTCATGTCAGAAGTTTGTGGTTGGGTGTATGAGGGTCTGATGCCATAGGATCTTGTGTCAGAAGTTTGTGGTTGGGTGTATGAGGGTCTGATGCCATAAGATCTTGTGTCATGTCAGAAGTTTGTGGTTGGGTGTATGAGGGTCTGATGCCATAGGATCTTGTGTCAGAAGTTTGTGGTTGGGTGTATGAGGGTCTGATGCCATAGGATCTTGTGTCAGAAGTTTGTGGTTGGGTGTATGAGGGTCTGATGCCATAAGATCTTGTGTCAGAAGTTTGTGGTTGGGTGTATGAGCGTCTGATGCCATAGGATCTTGTGTCAGAAGTTTGTGGTTGGGTGTATGATCGTCTGATGCCATAGGATCTTGTGTCAGAAGTTTGTGGTTGGGTGTATGAGGGTCTGATGCCATAAGATCTTGTGTCAGAAGTTTGTGGTTGGGTGTATGAGCGTCTGATTCCATAGGATCTTGTGTCATGTCAGAAGTTTGTGGTTGGGTGTATGAGGGTCTGATGCCATAGGATCGTGTGTCATGTCAGAAGTTTGTGGTTGGGTGTATGAGGGTCTGATGCCATAGGATCTTGTGTCATGTCAGAAGTTTGTGGTTGGGTGTATGAGGGTCTGATGCCATAGGATCTTGTGTCATGTCAGAAGTTTGTGGTTGGGTGTATGAGGGTCTGATGCCATAAGATCCTGTGTCAGAAGTTTGTGGTTGGGTGTATGAGGGTCTGATGCCATAGGATCTTGTGTCAGAAGTTTGTGGTTGGGTGTATGAGCGTCTGATGCCATAGGATCTTGTGTCATGTCAGAAGTTTGTGGTTGGGTGTATGAGGGTCTGATGCCATAGGATCTTATGTCATGTCAGAAGTTTGTGGTTGGGTGTATGAGCGTCTGATGCCATAGGATCTTGTGTCATGTCAGAAGTTTGTGGTTGGGTGTATGAGGGTCTGATGCCATAGGATCTTATGTCATGTCAGAAGTTTGTGGTTGGGTGTATGAGCGTCTGATGCCATAGGATCTTGTGTCATGTCAGAAGTTTGTGGTTGGGTGTATGAGCGTCTGATGCCATAGGATCTTGTGTCATGTCAGAAGTTTGTGGTTGGGTGTATGAGGGTCTGATGCCATAGGATCTTGTGTCATGTCAGAAGTTTGTGGTTGGGTGTATGAGGGTCTGATGCCATAGGATCTTATGTCAGAAGTTTGTGGTTGGGTGCCATAGGATCTTGTATTATATCGGAACTGATTTCAAACAGATAAATACATTTTGTAGTTTGTAATTTCACACAGATTATTAATTGTTAATTATTGATTATGAAGTATGTTATTAAAGTACCTAATTGTGGAATAGTCGTGAACATTCTGTGCTGAAAATTGTTTCAAATCCGCTGCAAACAATTATTGTAGAACCAATTGTATTCAATTGTTTTTATTTGTGTTGTGGCAAAGGGGAGGGGATAAATTATTGCGTCACACTCAATTGTAACTACATTTTACAACCTTTCATCATGTCAATATAGTCCGAACGTGCGAAGGAAACTTTGACCACTTCTACTGAACCTATTTCTATAAAACTTTGGACAGGGGCTAAGACCAGGTGACACCAAATTTACTTGATGCGATTTTATGTAATTTAAAAGAATAATAATCGAAGATTACGGTATACGTACTAATTGTATTGTACTATTCTACACACACTGTTAGCTACATAATTTGACCGACTTACTTTATCCTACGCAACACATTTTTCGAGTCCTACAATTTTTTTTACTACGCGACACCATTTTACTAAGCTTTAGTGATATCTAATTATCTGAGGTAAAATTTTCAGTAATCCACATCAGTGATATCTAATTATCTGAGGTAAAATTTTCAGTAATCCACATCAGTGATATCTAATTATCTGAGGTAAAATTTTCAGTAATCCACATCAGTGATATCTAATTATCTGAGGTAAAATTCTCAGTAATCCACATCAGTGATATCTAATTATCTGAGGTAAAATTATCAGAAATCCACATCAGTGATATCTAATTATCTGAGGTAAAATTATCAGAAATCCACATCAGTGATATCTAATTATATGAGGTAAAATTCTCAGTAATCCACATCAGTGATATCTAATTATCTGAGGTAAAATTCTCAGAAATCCACATCAGTGATATCTAATTATCTGAGGTAAAATTATCAGAAATCCACATCAGTGATATCTAATTATCTGAGGTAAAATTCTCAGAAATCCACATCAGTGAGATCTAATTATCTGAGGTAAAATTATCAGAAATCCACATCAGTGATATCTAATTATCTGAGGTAAAATTCTCAGAAATCCACATCAGTGATATCTAATTATCTGAGGTAAAATTCTCAGTAATCCACATCAGTGATATCTAATTATCTGAGGTAAAATTATCAGAAATCCAC